GTGTCCAGGCCTGTGACCGACTCAGTCCTCCGTGTCCAGGCCTGTGACCGACTCAGTCCTCCGTGTCCAGGCCTGTGACCGACTCAGTCCTCCGTGTCCAGGCCTGTGACTGACTCAGTCCTCCGTGTCCAGGCCTGTGACCGACTCAGTCCTCCGTGTCCAGTGTCCAGGCCTGTGACCGACTCAGTTCTCAGACGCTTCATTAACCAGAGTTACGCATCACTGTTCGCAGAGCACTGCATTCTGGGAGACCCTTCCTTTCAGAACAGCCACCACAAAAGCCCATTTACATTTCTTCAGAAAATCATGCCTAATTGTTTCTCACACAGTATAAATGATCAGATTACTGCAGTAAATCCATATTTAGATGTGTTTATTACGGTTTACTACAAAACAAAACCAGTTATGGTGCTTGAAAACATGTTGATTGATTTTACTTCAAAAAGCAGTTAAAACATAGTTACTTAATTTTGTATAGTAGTATATGTTTTTATAGTGCTAATGCTGCAGTAAAACCACGGTTAATGTTGTAGTTCTACGGTTTTACTGCAAATGCTGTATTTCTTTTTTTATTATTATTATTATTTTTATTTATTTTATTACAGGGACAGTGCATATTCAGAAACATTACTGTCAATGCCAGAATTAGCCTAAAGGCTATTTTTCATCTGCAGTCCCAGACAGATGGTAAAAGTCACCCTAAAAGAGATTACATATTACATTGCACTAAAATATAAAAATATCTATTACATTAGAATGTATAATCTAAACACATCAAAACATCAATCGGACAAACATCACGTAAAAACATGACACACATAAGGAGAAGAGCCAACAGTGTGCAGCAAGAGCAGGTTTAGTAATAGGTCAATGTTGACAGCTCTGATGATCAATAAGCCATTACACTTTTTCTAAAGGGAATGATCCAATCTCCCCTAGCTGCACCTCTGGTCCTGCAGTAATCAACTGTTCGGGTATTGACACACTGATGGAGAGGAGGGGAAGATATACCATGAATAATTTTAGAAATAAGACAATATTTAACCATATTATCCCAACTGAGTAATCTATATTTTTGTAATATTGGACAATGATGAGAAATACAAGGTTTCTTATCCAGAATTTTAACAGTTTGTTTGTAAAGTGATTGCAGAGGTTTCAAAGATGTAATACTAGCTTGTGCCCAAATGGGTAAACAGTATATGTGATGTGTGAGAAGATCATAAGAGTGCATGTACATTTTTGCTGCCTGTGTGGACATTTGATGGCGAATGTGTCTAAAGTTACTGAGACTATTTTTAATTCGATTACAGACCATTTTTACATGTGATGAGAATGATAACTTTGAATCAATTAAAACTCCCAGATATTTGTATTCTGACACGATCTGCAGTTTTTCCCCTGAAACAAAAATATCTGGCTCAACACTGAAGTTTTTGTGGGACTTGGTAAAAAAACATTGCTACTGTTTTTGATGTATTCAGCTGCAGGCAGGAGTGTTTCAACCAAGCTGTGACGTTAACCATGGAGTTAGTGAGCTTCGCAACCACCTGAGAGATATTCCTACCGTGTGCATAGACTACGCCCAGCAAACATTTGGACGTGTAATGACCGTTGAAAAGACGTCCGTTCGACACGTCCCGTTATGGTTGAAAAATAGTTCCAAAATGGAAGTTGAACCGACGTCTTTTCTGGCCGTGAATTACACGTCTCTTCAGCGCGTCCCTGGACGTCTAAATGCGTCATCATTTGTGTGTTTAAATGTGTTGCTGCATAATTTAAGTGTATATAAGCCTGCATTTAAAATAATCACACACATATTGTGTAACATCGTGAAAGGCAATCAAGTCTTGAGGTTTACACATCTTGACAAAGGTTTTAAAAAGTTCCAAAATTGGTCCAGTCAGACGGACCTGACCGTCAATAAAACGTTTCAATCACGTGTACATCACAAACAAGAACACATTATTTGTGGACATAAGAAAAAAAGCATGTTCTGATTTAGCAAATTTTATTGATCTTGAACAGCGAAAATGTCTCTTAATATTTTTTCAATGTTTAACATTTGTTAACCAAACTAAAATACCAATTACAAAATACTGAATTATTATATAAAGGGATAGTTCACCCAAAAATGAAAATTCTTTCATTTACTCACCCTCATGTTCCAAACCTGTATGAGTTTATTTCTTCTGCTGAACACAAAAGAAGATATTTTGAAGAATGTTTGTAACCAAGCAAATAGAGCAACCATTGACTACCATTATTTGAGAAAGATTAATGGGAAGCGATATCTTGGTTACAAACATCTTTGTGTTTAGCATAACATAGAAAGGTATACAGGTTTGAAACATGAGGTGGAGTAAATGATGACAATTTTCATTTTTGGGTGAACTATCCCTTTAAACACATTGTTTGGCTCAGTTTTTGTATCCACCAGCTGTTCCTGGAGCGTGTTTCAGGTGTTCTGCCATTGCTGCATCAATTTCAGAGTCTGTAGCATTTGGGCTCCACCTCTTCACAGCATCTAAGGGAAGAGAAATATATATATATATATATATATATATATATATATTAATAAATAAAATTATAAATTTGAGGTAAATGATATGCACTTATTTTCAAAATATTTTTATGGTCTACAGCTAAATAAAAAAAAAAAAAAACATGGAACAAGATGAATGAATCATGAATAAAACATTAGAAAAAGGTAATCAACATGCATTACATTTTATTTTATTGTATAAAATATGTTATGCTTTATTTTTAAAGCAGTTACTGGAAACATACATGTTAAAATCCAGCTAAACATTTCATTCCATTTCAGATAATTTACTTTCTGAAAGAAACTCTCAAAAGGCTACATTAATAAGTTACAGTAATAACTTTGACTGTATCATTAAACAATATACTTGGTATACCGTTGTTGTATACGTTCAAAGTTAATATTAGCCTACTGGCTAATTTTAGCCAAACTCAGTAAATTTCAGTTGACAATGTGGGCATCATTTCTTTCTGTTCATTCATGTCACACAAGTAAACCTCAAGCACGTTAATCTAATACAAAATGTACTTACCAAACAGTAGATTTTTAATAATACTATCGACACAACTCCATCCTCTCCTCGTGGTTGTTCAAAGTTCTAGAATCTATGAGAACGCGTTAACATCTCGCGAGATAATCTATCCTATCGCGGGATTTTGTTGTATTGCGAGATTTTTTGTTCATCTTGGCAGCACAGTTTATGGTTTGGGCACATCCAATTCAGACATAAATGGTGACCGGGTATATTACTGTTTTTGTATATAAATACATTACATAAAAAATAACAACGAAAACATCAGGTACAACAGGTTAAAATAATGACTAAAATGCAGTGGCTTTGCAATCACTTGACTATACTGGGCATTTTGTGATTATAATTTATAAAAACAAGATAAAGTAAATATTCATTTGTATATAAATCGTGTATTTTATAAAGAATTATAATTCCTGATAATTTGTTTCTGTCTTGCTACTAGACGTGCAAAAGACGTCAGTGGACGTATAGTATTCACAGCCTGACTAGACGTGTAAAGGACGCCAGTGGACGTCTTCACAACCTCTTAAAAACTTCATGGGCAATTACATTAATTATTGCAGTATTAACCATGCGAGGATTAAGCGCAGCTTTTGCATATTTAACAAGGATTTCATAGAGGGTCATGATGGACTATAAATGCACGTGGAAAAAACGTCGCCAGGTGACGTCCTCTCACCCGATACACTAAACATAACTACACGTAGCTAAAAGTTAAAATAACAATTATACATGCCACTGTAGACATGTACAAATGTATCTGAATGCATTTTTAGGAAATGTTCTGTGTTACATATTTTTACCGATTTATGACGTCTGGCCGCAACTATTTTTGGCCAGGGACACGACGTTGCCGTCGGACCAATGTTTGCTGGGCGGTGTCATCAGCATACATCTGCACAGAAACATCAGGACAAGCGAATGGCGAATTAAAAACAGGTTTCAAACAGGTTTTTAATGCAAAAATCAGAGTAAAACCATGGTTACTGTATTAAAAGCATGGTTAATTTTCGTACTGATTAAGTGATGTTAATTCACACAAACACAGACAGATGTGGAGAAATAACACGCATCTGAACCGCATTAACAGGCTTACAGCGCCACCTGCCGGCGCATCACCTGCGCATGCGCGTGGGACTGGAGCGCGAACGCGTTTGTGCATCTGCGCATGCGCGAGGGCTAGAGCTGAAACTCGAACACGCGTCTGGTTTGCTAGCTAAGTGCAAAAAAAGTGAAAACCTTTATTTGATAAACGTTTCGGTGGAAGTTTTATTCATGTAATGTAATTTAATCGACATTCCCTGAAACTATTTTTGGTTACGACTGCACACATTAACCCAGCTAACAATACTGCTATAAGAACGGTTTGCTAACGTCTAAGTTATGAATATTCTAAACCTCTAATTTAAGTTTTTAAAACGTCTTGCTTCTTGGTAATGTGAACGTTACGGGAACATTACATTCTTCAAACATTATAGGAACGTTATGTTTCAATGTTCTCTGAACGTCCTGAAACTAGTTAGACAAACTAAAACATTGTAGAAAAACTCTCCATGGACGAAGTATAAATAATGTTTTTGTGCTTATGTTTCGAGACCATTTTAAGTTTTTAAAATTGCTTACAATTTATGAAACTATGGCTCCATTTCTTGAAACTACACACAAAACCACAACACTCACTCAAACAAAACCACAACACACACACACATCTATTTTAACTCTTTAGGCCACTGGCTCCTTCAGGGGTCAAAGATGATTTTGCAGATTATCTCCAGCTTATTTCTGCTGTTTTAGTAATAATGAGTTTTAATAAACACTTACAAGAATCATTAGGTACTCACACACACCCGTTTCTCCATCACCACTGAAGAACACACTTTCTATGAACGGGCGCTTCATAAAACAGGCTTAAAAACACACTGAGGTTTGTTCAACTTTATTTACTGAAAATCCAGATGTTATGAACCTGTCTGACTCCAACAGGCCTCGAAGAGTGAAACGATCAACTAGAAAAGACCTAGTCAATGTAACCCTTCTGTTGTTAGATGCAGAGCGAGAAAAAGCTCAAAAGAAATGTGTGTTTAAACACTGTGAAGGACGTGAGGTTTACAGACACAGAAGCAAAGCAGCACACAGTGATCTCAGAGCGGGAGCGGTGTCTTCAACGGAGAAACCCAAGCGTGTTTAACTACATCATTCCTATTTTCAAGACAGTCTTCATGCCGGTTCACACGTGTTGTAGCTCCGCCCCCTCAGCGCTTCTCCGGGGGCGTGGCCGTTTGGGCCGAGGCTCCGCCCCCTCAGCGCTTCTTCGGGGGCGTGGCCGTTCTGGGCGGAGTCACGGGGCGGCCGGAGTTCATCCCGCCGTACTGATACTTCGCCTTCTTCTCCGACGGCTTCAGGATCTGAGAACAACAGCGAGAAACGCTTCAGTCGACATATAGGACATGTGCGGAAGGCCAATTCATGCAAAAATCATGCTTTGGTTAATCATAATTATGACATACTAAGTCATATGAGATGAAAAGTCAAAATCATGACTTAAAAAGTCATAATTATGAAATATGAAGTTGAAATAATAATAATTTATTTTACCAAAGCATGACTTTTTCTTTTTGTGTGGCAGAAATGGGCTTTAATAAATTTGAAACTGTTCTCTGATCTTAAAACATAATTTCCGAAAGAATTGTGTATAGTTCCCATAGGGATTATTCATAATCGAATTTCACAAAAACACATCAGAGACACATTTCTCTCCACAATCAGAGTACAAAAACAAATCAAATTTTGAAAAAGAAGACTTTAAATAGGGCCAATATGATCTTTTGCTTTAGTGACATTATTTTCATGACAAATGAACACAATTTCCCCCTAAATTGTTTTATGTTTTTAAGGATTTTTCCAATGACACATGCGTAAAAAATACAGTATTGTACACCAAAGTTCAAAATGTCTTGGCTATAATTCGACTCCGTATGCACTGAATCTAGAGAGATCAATATTGGGATTTTTGGCCAAACCGTTCAGACGTTATGAGCAAAAACAGCCATTGTCCATTTCTCCCGAGCACTAGGGGGCGCTGTGCCGAAACTGTGCATGTACTCTCGAGTCACGCATGTAATGACAGGTGCCAGGTTTGATGGTAATACAGCATATCAGTGCGGAGACCAGCCTCGCGTCTGCTTTACGTGCTCAGCGCTGAACTCGATGCGTTATACGAGAACGCTGGGGTTTATGAACAAGCTTTCAGCACGGTCTGATGACGATGCGAGCCAAATTTGGTAAAAAATTTAATCAAACGTCTAGGAATTAGATTGAAAAAGTAGGTTTATCTGGAATATTAAAAAATCAGATTTCGTTTTTCAGCCCTTACAGTTCAAAAGTTAGCATAAATGCTAGTGCAACTCCGGCCAGTCGGTGGCGCTAGAGTTAACGGTCAGACTGGCCTAAAGCGGCTTTTTCTGTGTGTGAAATATGATTTCTTTGATTGTGTGGAGAAGCATGTCTCGTTAGATGGCGTATGAAGGCCAGTCATGTGACACCTGGAAGGAGCACATCAGAGTCTCGTCGACGCTCATCATCCCCCCGGCGTTGTCGAACTCGCCGCAGTAGTTCGGCGCCGAGAACAGCGTCACCAGCTGCCGCTTAGCGAAGAACTCGTAGCCGTCTTCAACCACCTGCGAAACAACCATTCTTTGAGTAATGTTGTGTAGTTGAGTAATGTTGTGTAGTTGTGTCACCTGATGCGAGTGATGTTGTGTAGTTGTGTCACCTGATGCGAGTGATGTTGTGTAGTTGTGTCACCTGATGCGGGTGATGTTGTGTAGTTGTGTCACCTGATGCGAGTGATGTTGTGTAGTTGTGTCACCTGA